CAGGCTAGTCTCCTGATTCCAGGACTGTGTGCTGACTGACTGCCCAGGCTAGTCTCCTGATTCCAGGACTGTCTGAGCTGACTGACTGCTCAGGCTAGTCTCCTGATTCCAGGACTGTCTGAGCTGACTGGCTTTCTTCTGATTCCAGGACTGTCTGTGTGATTGTGGGTGTGGGGTGTAGGTGAGTGGGTGTGAGTGTGTGTGTCTTGATGTGGGTGTGAGTATGTGTGTCTTGATGCGGGTGTAAGTATGTGTGTCTTGATGCGGGTGTGAGAATGGGTGTGTTGATGTTGGTGTGAGTTTGGGTGTGAAAATGTGTGTGTTGATGTGGGTGTGGTTGTGAGCATGTGTGTGTTGATGTGGGAGTGAGAACGTGTGTGTTGGTGTAGGTGTGTGTGTTGATGTGGGTGTGGGTGAGGATGTGTGTGTTGACGTTGATGTGGGTGTGAGAATGTGTGTGTTGGTGTAGGTGAGTGTAATGATGTGGGAGTGGGTGGGTATGTTCATGTAGGTGTGTGGGTGTGAGTGTTCGTGTCTTGATATGGGTGTGAGAATGTGTGTGTTGATGCAGGTGTGTGTGTTGGTGTAGGTGTGGGTGTGGGTGGGTGTGTTGATGTGGTTGTGAGGGTGTGGGTGAGGATGGGTGTGTGAGTGTGGTTGTGGGGGTGGCTGATTTCCTCTCCTCTGAACAGAACTGATCATCTCCAGGGAACTGTTACTCCAGACTCAATGGCGGAGCTCCTGGGAGAAACCAGAGAATGACCCCAGACCTGAAGGTGTATCAAAGCCTTTCTTTTCTGTATGCAGGGATGTTTGAAACGCACACAAATCCTACAGGACAGGCCTGTCCACAAGTGTTGAAGTGGTTTGTAATGAGATCAGATACAATATCCTACCTGTCAGTATCCCTTTTTAGGATGCAAAGGTTTTCAATAATATGTGAGGACGTATTACTATTAAAAATGTCCAAGGCACTTTAATAAATTAATCAATTAATGAATATCCTTGTTTCAAATATGGGGTGCCAGTGTTAAACTATATATCAGAACTTTCATACAATATTTGCGTTTTAGTGCATATTGCACACAAACATATGTATTGATCCAACCCCGCGGTCAGAACCATTTCTCCTTTGTTAAACCCAAGAAAGAAGCAATTTTAAATTAGGAATGCCTTATTGCAGTTTATCAGCTGTAGAAGCGATTACTTTGTGGTTCGTCACCCGTAAATCCTTCGAAGGACAGTGCGCAAGTGTGCATCTGTATACTGTATGAAAAACAGGCACATGGAGCTGTGTGATAAGTCTTTTTTTTCAGTTAGTCACGCCTTTCAAGACTGGGCTCAGAAATGTAGATACCGCTTTTTTTCTTATCAGTGAGAACAAGCACCTACAGTATCTTGGCTGACGGGTTTCTTCTGCCCTCGACACCAGTCCGAGAGAAGGCTTGGAGTTGAAGCCGGCAACTGGAATACACGAAATAAAAGAAAAGAAAACAATTGTTCATCGTCGACAAAAGCATCGACACAAGACGTGATTTTTTTAAATCGTTTTCACGATAGGTGAAAGATGCGTCGGGGTCGATGGGTTCTGTGCGCTATGTTTCTTTCTCTCCCTGTTTGCGGTGAGTTCCCTGTGTCGTGTCGCTCTCTGGAAACACCCGCAGTTCCTGTGTCGAGA